TAAATCCCAACCCTCCAGATGGAGTATTTCTACATTTGTTAAATAAACCATGCTAGCAAACCATTTAAACATATTTATATAACTTATATTTAATGGGAATCAAATGTAAATATAACAAGATATTTAAGAAGAATCTATATTTAAGTGATTATTATGCACATTGACAAATATATGGTACTTTCCATAACATATTTACTGCTCTAGATTACCAGCATGAATATATATATATATATAAACAGCCTCTTCACTGGGGTTCAGAGGGTCTTGACCCTTTTGGCCTTAAATCTGCCCTACCCCTCAAAGACAATAACAACTACAAAAGTCTGAATATTTTCATTTTCTGAATAATCAGTGGCTTAGTTTCTCTGTTTATATTTACATACTGGATGAAGGAAAATTTGAATGAAGGAAAATTAAACTTATGTTAGGCAATACTGTATTGTCATATTTTACTTTGTTTCATGTTTAAGTTTGAAATTGTTTAATGCCAAGTTGGAATTATGCCTGATATTTTCTTGTTCTCTTTGTTGTACTCTGTGATTTGTACAATGTGCCAATTTTTGTGCCAAGACCAATAATTACAGAAGCCATCCTGGAAGTTATGTGTAGTCTGACTCTGGCTACTTAGAAAAGGATGTAATTGGCAAATTTGAAAAAGCAACACTTAGATGTTGACAGAATTGGACACTTTTATCCTACTTTCTAGATTTGAAAACCAGTTCACAGGCTTTGTTTTAACCCTAGTAAGACCAAGTTGCTTTGGGTTTTAGAAGTCCCTGGTTCTGGGATATTTCCATCTCATGTTTAGAATGGCATTATACTGTTACAGACTGATCTTGTGCACAATCTAGGAGTCCTCCTGAACTCATGGCTCCTGGTCAAAAAGAAAGCGGTAACCATGGCTGAGAGGATCTTTGAAAGCTTTACATTCTGCATAACTTACACTTGTTCCTGGACTCCAATTAATCATGCCTTAGTCACTTCCCTATTACTACAAAGAGCCTTACGTGGGGTGCCCAATAGTATTCAGATGTTTTGACTGGTGCAAAATGTAGCAGTGTGAGCAATTATGGTGCCAGTTATTTGGTACATGTGACATCTCTGCTCTATGAGTTGCATTGGTTACCAGTGTGCTTCTGGGTGCAATACAAGGTGCTAGTGGTTATCTTTAAAGCCCTTCATGCCTTAAGGCTAGGTTACTAATGGGACTGTTTCTCCTCGGTAGTGCCTACTAGCCTGTTAAATTCAGAAGGAAAGACATGTTCCAGGTCCCATCCACTAATGGTCTCTTTTACTAGAGCAGTGTTTCTCAACCTTGGCAACGTTAAAATGTATGGACTTCAATTACCAGAATTCCCCAACCAGCATTAATACAATTTCCACCAAAATGTATGACTCTTTTTCCAATTAACTGAAAAACCTGATAAAAGGCTAACCACTGTATTATATCAATTAATATCTACAAAAAATGAGTACATGATTAATACAAGAAGCCTTGTATTAATGTATTGTATTAATACAAGATGCAGTGATTAAAGTATAATATTGCAAACAAATTCTGCCCATAGCATGAAGTTTGATTCTGATGGACGTCGTTGATTCGGCCTTCCATCCTTCTGAGATCAGTAAAAGGAGAACTCAGACTGTTGCGAATAAATATGCAATGTAATGCTTCTACCTTGTACACCATCCAGAGAATGCTGTAAAATGTTATGGGATGGTATATAAGCCTAAAAGACTATTGCTATCATTATCAATAATATAGAAAATTATAGAACAGTTATGGTTAACTTCTGTCACTGATATATTCAAAATGTCATTGTTTCTCTAAAAAGGAGATAATAAAGTGTTAAAAGACACTCTTGATGAATTCTTTGATATATTTTGATAAATAAAGCAATAATTCTGTTTGCAATGAGCTCCCTAAGAAAGAGAGTTGTCATGTTTACAGCTTCTTTGTTGATATAATCTGTTTGACTTGTGCCATCATATTCAGCTAACTTATTTCACCATTATACCTGCAGTAAGCCAGGAACTGGTTGGGATTTGAAAGAGGACACCTGCAAATGTCCAGCAGAATCATCAGACATATTAATTACATATTATTTAAGCATTCAGGAATTTTCTAGGTTCAATAGATGTCTGGGAAATATAATGTAATGGGCCTAGACTAGAGCTTCTGCAGAAGTCACCAACAGTCTAAAATTCCACATGAAAATATTTGACACATTTGATTTCTTATAGAATCCTCTCCAAATTCCTTCTTATAAGAGTGATGAAACATCAGTAAAAATCTTTGACTGGACAGTAAATATTCTCCTATTTGAATGTAGTTTTATTAAGTTTGATGTTTTTTATTCCTTTAAATATTCTCTAGATTTCTGGGCATAAATTATTATTTTTTATCTGTAAATGGTAAGCATCAACATTCAGTGTTGGAGTTATGCTTGTCATATTACTTAGAATAATGGAAAAAGTCTAAAGCACATAAAAGCTTTTTTTTTAAAAAAAATCCATCATTGTTACAGCTAAAGAGAGCATAAATGGACCACACAACTGGTTTCCCATAGTATATTCATTCCATTATTGGTTTAAAGAATTTTGACTATGTTTTGGCACAGTCTGTGATACATAAATCAATTCATGCACGCATATAAACATACTACTGCACCAGAATTTAGAAAGGATAGTGACAATATCAGCATGCTACAGTAACTCAAAACTCTGATATCTGTGAATGACCGCACATTCTGTGATGTGCTAGTCTTTGCTGTAATAATATATTAAAATGTTTAATGCTGTAATTGCCATTGTCCTATTAAGCTTAACAGGAATTCAGTGTATGAATATAATTTAAATGTAAGTTTTTTATTTATTATTATATCTTGTTCGTTCAATTTTTTCTCATTATTTTCAATGCAAATAAAATTCTGAAGTAAACAAAAAGAAATGTCCATTTCCTACAGAAAATATACAGTACAGGAAATATAAATGCTAACCAAGATGATATAAAAGGATTGTAAATCTTGAAAAATGTAATCCATAAACTAAAAAAACAGGCCAAATTTAATAAATTTTATATTGATTAAGCCTCTGAAGGTATTTAATATATATATTACAGTATTGAGGAAATATCATTTATCTTTCTAGAACAAAATTTTCCAGTAATAAAACTTATTTATTTAACAGGTAATACTTCTAGATTTGTTTAGTGTAATGTAGTTTTTTAAATTCAATTTCAGGAAAGTCTCCTTCACAAACTCTGCATAATTAAATAGAAGTTATATAATATCAGTTGGTATTATAACAAATAGAAATTTGTCCTATGTTTTGTGTGTGTATATATACATATGTACATATTTATGTGTGTATGTGTTTGTGTATCATCTCAAACATAAGAAGTACACAGCACTGAAGATGCAGCATATAAAAATAAATTGTATCTTAAGGTATTTTAAATTAAAGTGTTCTTGGAAACTAATCAATAGAATGGATTAAGTGTTTAAATATATGGGTTCCTAATTAATAGTTGAATTCATTCAATGCGCTCTTAAGTGAACTGGTCAACAGAACAGCTAAAATGATCTTATTTATTTATTTATTTATTAGATTTATATACTTTGCCCACCCTCATAAAACGTGACTAGAGCTACTTAAAAACAGAGACTTTAAACAATAGAGGGGAGGGGAGAATTGTTTTGTATTTCTTAACTTACAAGAAACTGAGTGGTGAAGTCAAAATGATTCTCATCTTTATCTTATTATCCAAGACAAGCAATCAACCGACTTCAGAAACCTGTATTTAGAACATGCGTAATGGATTTTGATTTCTTTTCAAAACCTGTTGCCTTTCATCCATTCAGTCTGCTTCAAATATCTTTCTTAGGATCATATTTAACACAAATTAGCAGTGTGATAATTATTACAGTCTGGAATTACCGAAATGAAAAAAACAAGGCATCTAAGATCATGTGAAATGAGTTAGTGACTGATTCCCTATTATAGGTTCCCATTATGAAAAGGGAACAAGTCTGGACCTGATAGAAGCTGTATTATAAACTTTAAATTTGTAAAATTTCCTCTTCTCTCTCCCCCTCTCTCCCTCTCATCTACCCTGGTAATGTCAGAAGATAACAAATGCTGCTTTGAATAATGTCAGTGATTTGATAATGAAGGGAACATCCATTGCTTAGGAAAAATATGTGAATGTTGCAGTAAGGCAACAATCTTTATATTTGTCTTGATACCAGACTGGTAACATTCTATATACTATTAATTATGTCATTGAGCATGGCATTCTATTGTTTTCTCCCAGATCTCCTCCTGATATACTGTATTATAGACATAGGAATGCAGTATCTTATATGAAATATAACAAGCATCTTATCCACATGAGAGCTTTACAACATACTTCCAACAATTATTATATTCATTATTATAAATTTGCATAACATTTTGGCTCGATTCCAACAGCTGAGTACTGTATAGGAGGCTAGGCCTTTCATTGCGGTGGAATAGCTTGTATTTACTAGTTCAGAAATTCCATAGAAAAATATAAGACCCTATTCTCCAATGGGCTGATAGAACTAAGATTAATGCTTCTAAAACAGTATTATGGAAAATATTTCTATTTTGAACATCAGATACATTTTCTGATGTACAAATATGATCAGTGTTTCACTGAATTTCATTCATACAATTTTTAAACATAAAACCATTTCCACAATTATCAAAAGGTATTTTCAAATGATATTCATATACAAAAGTTGACTTACTGTGGATAAGTCCATAACTATTCATAAATAACCATGAAAGGTAGTTAATTAATTGTGCCACTTTGTATATACAGTAGATGCTTCTACTGGTGCAGTTCTATTTTTAAGAAATATTTACTAAAATGCAGTTTTCAGTTGAATTAAACATACCGTGTACAATGTATATTTTAATGCATATCAGATATATTCCAAAATGCTCATCAAAACCTATGATGATTGACTTACCCCATTTAGAGGATAGGTTTTCCATCCCAGCTCTCCAATTGCAGTGGTTGTATCAAGCAATACAACTAGAAACAAATAAATAAAATTAATTGAGGATGTGCTTTAAATAATTTAATGCAACAAGTACACTACTTCATAAAATTACTACCTTTTTTCTATGTTGCATTAGGCAATAACTCAGGATATAAAGATTTCCTAAAAATATTCCTTTTCCATTTCAACTATTAATAAACAGAATTTTAATGGTATTGTTTATAGATTGTCAAATATCCAAACCTCTCTAAGATATTTTAAAATGCTTTTTGGTGCAGGAATCTTTAATAACTTGTGTGTAGAAATTAACACAGAAGCATATTAATAGGAACATGTGCATTATGCTTTGTAGAATAATGGATATAATAGATGCCTGCTTAGAGTTAGTATTCTTGAGATTGTTGATTGTGTGATTTGTTGGGCTTGAAGCCAACAACACATTTATGAGAAATAAACCACCATTTGGTTATCAATGACAGACACTCAAAGATATAGAACCTTCATTACACATTAGAAAACTACAACATTACATTACTTTTTGACATAATCACCATTCAAATTGAGGCACTTGTCATAATATCTTACAATGTTTGAAATTCCTTAGTAGTAGTCGCTCGGTGCCAAATCTGGGCTATGGGGGTGTAATCAAAAACATCCCAACGGAACTGCTTCAAAAGTTCTTGGGTGTGCCTAGTGGTGTGCGGACGATAATTATCATGAACCAATACTACACCAGAAATCAACATACCCTGGTGCTTGTTATGGATGGCTCGTCTGAGTTTTCATAACATTTCACAGTAGACTTCTGAATTGATGGTTGAATCAAACTCCATGAACTTCACTAGCAGTACTCCTTAGGTATCTTCACATTTGGTGGGATTTTCTATGGCATCACTTTCAGTGTCATAGTGTGTGAGTGTCGGTCATTGATAACCAAAAGGAGGTTTATTTCTGAATTGCCCTCATACAATATATCTTCATGTTCTCCTAAAAATCATATCCATAATGACAACACAAAGTATTTTGAAATTTAAAATCAATACTAAAGAAGAAATAAGAGAGATTTTATTCCAGGTTTGAAATATAAAATTTATATTTCATATATAAAACCTGTAGTTTTGTATATACTTATGTTGAACTAAATCCTAGGAAATTATTTTTAAGAAATCACACATAGGATTAGGATAATAAAATGGAGTTCATCTTATTTTGTGCATATGTGCATATATACGTATCTATATGAGGGTATGTGCAAATTTAAATACACTTGCTATTTTGAGAATGATCAACATTGATAATGTACATTTAAGATAGTTTGAACAGTTTGTAACATATTATTTCCTGTGGTTAATAGAATTATGATCCTTTTTTAGCCCAATGACTTGGGTTTGCATAACATATCAAATTATCCATTGGAAAATATTTGAACAAAATACAAAAACAAACTGGTTGTTTAGTTTATGGTTCAGTATGTTTGCAAATTGGTGAATAATTAAAAAATAATTGATCATACTTTTATTTAATCATATTTTTATTTAAATACTGATTTCTGATGTATTTATAAACTAACTACTATTCAAAAGCAGTGTGATATATGTAGAAGCAGTGTAGAATATTTTAGAAGGCTTTTGTTTATCTGAATAAAAATGTGGAAATTGGTGGAATATATTAAATTAAATGCCCCTATAAATGCTGGCAGAAAGAAACAGCAGCATGCTACAATATTTACAGGAAAACTGTAACATGAGGAAGTGATGTCTGAAAGTCCTGTATGCTTTATATTTGCAGAAATTTGACATTTTATGAGATTTATGTTTAGTTTATATTTCTTTCAAGTGGAAATACTTAACTGTGCCACAAAAATAGCACATACTGTAACTCTAACTTTGTTCTTTTATATGGAATAACAACAAGGAATAATGCTTCATAGGTTCTCTTCTGTGGAATTCTAGGCATTAAACACACACATGCTATTGATGCATCCTTTTCTGCATATAAAATGTAATATGAATAAATAGTAATATGAATAAATAGCATAAAAATATAGCATGCATTTTATGGGCTGCAAATTCTGAGATTCATAATTAAACTTATATTATCACGAAAATATGGTCCCTTTTATATCATTTCTAAATAAAAAACACATATTAACTATTCTGTTAAATAATGGGAACATACGGAGGTACACAGTATCTAGGATGTTTTGAATCTTCTCAACAATAATTACAGCTAGATTCAGTATTAAACATATTAAAAAAGAGCACCATTTTGACTGATCTTCTAGACATTCTAGATAGGCCATTTTTATTTCATTTGCTAAGGTAAGAACAGAGCATAAACTGAAAAAAAGGGTCTGGGCCCCTCCTTGAGTTATGCAGGAGTAACTCTTGCGACAAAAACACTCAAGACAGATGCATGAGATGAGTTAAGTCAGTTACCCAGATATCAAGACATAAAAGACTTTGTTGAACAAAACCAGCATTTTCAACAGCACTCAGAAATTTCTTGTAAGTCAATGCAGCAGTTTGCAAAATTGATGACACATGGCACAGGGAGATCTCATTTGCCAAATGCACTTCATATGCTGCAATTAACATCAACACTATTTAGTAACCATTGCAGTAACTGATTCTACAGGTAAAATAATAAATGTGGGAAAGCTATTGCCAATATACCAGAAAGAATTGCAACTGATGGACTAGTCACAGTTGAGCAAAGCTTTTCGTAGCTATGACCTACATATCCTTATTTAGCAAAAATCTTGTATCTAGAACACCTAAGTTGCAGGTTTTGGTATCTAAGGGGTTGCCACAAAGAAGAGGTCAACATATTATCCAAAGCACCTGAAGGCAGAATAAGAAGCAATGGATGGAAACTAATCAAAGAGAGAAGCAACTAGAACTAAGGAGAAATTTCCTGACATATAGAGCAATTAATCAGCGGAACAATTTGCCTCCAGAAGTTGTAGGTGCTCCAACACTGGAGGTTTTTAAAAAGAGATTGGACAACCATTTGTCTGAAATGGTATAGAGTTTCCTGCTTGAGCAGGGGGTTGGACTAGAAGATCTCCAAGGTCCCTTCCAACTGTTGTCATTCTATTATGCCTTTAGGAAGAATAAAAGAACCAACTAGCAGCAGGCAAAAGACTCCAGTTGTTTCTGCAATTCATTTTCAGGATCCAGACTTAAAGTCTTCAAGCACCAGGTCAAGATTTCCACTGTGTCTCAATTCAGCCCAAGGTGATGATGTACAACTAAATATTACCCGTGTGTTGATAACACCTCAGCCTATATCAGTGGGTGACTTCTTCCAGTGGCTTTATTCAGATATTAAAATGCAAAGAGAGAGGACCAGTCTCTCTGGCATCTCACAAATAAGCAAACCCTGGATGACTTCTCTGCTATTATCACCAACTGATATTACTCTTAGGAAGGAGCAGAAACACTCTTCACCACAAGAGAGAGCTTTCCACTCCTAATCACCATGAGCAGCTGAGAAAATATGTTTGATGGCATTGAAGACTGCTCAAAGGTTCAAAAGGACCTCTTGGAAAAAAGTGTGCTCCCCCATGCAGATTTCAATAAAAATAACTAGTAGAAAAATAAATAGGATTCTCAGTTCATGCCTAGGTCTGAATCCTTATAGTATTGTAATCATTTTTTTCTAGAAAACACCTCTTCAGAATGAGCCATTAGCATGAAAGGCAAGTAAAGGCAGGTTTTTTGTTTCATTGGGTGAAAAATTAAACATGATGATTGGAATTCTGCAGAGAGATTGGTAGCTTAATTGTTATGGATAAGTTTATACATTGTGCCTTAGTTGAGCTCTAAACTGCAGAAGATGATATTCTTCTAGGGAACAAGAGCGGAATGCAGGATAAGTCAATGCAAGAATGAAACAATAAACAATGTATGCAGAACGAGGTGTGCAAATTTTCTCTTTTCCTATAGGGAGGTTTTTTTAAAAATGAATTTTTAAGAGGCATATGTTTATTTTATTTATTTTTAAAATTTATAAGCCGCCCCACTCCCGAAGGACTCTGGGCGGCTAACAATAAAAACACATAAAACATAACAAAACAACAATACAGGGGTAAGGTTTTATAAACCCCAGGCCTGCCGGAAAAGCCAGGTCTTAAGTAGCTTATGGAAGACCAATAGGGTGGGAGTGGTCCTAATCTCCGGGGGAGCTGATTCCAAAGCGTGGGCGCCATCACAGAGAAAGCCCTCCTCCGCGGCCCCGCCAAATGGCACTGCTTGGCCGACGGGGCCTGAAGGAGGCCCAGCCTGTGGGATCTAACCGGACGTAGGGAACTATGAGGTAGCAGACGGTCTCGCAAGTAGCCTGGCCCTGAGCCATATACGGCTTTAAAGGTAATGACCAACACCTTGAATTGGACCCGGAGACCAATAGGCAACCAGTGCAGCTCACGGAGGATAAGTGTAACGTGGGTGTATCGAGGAGCACCCACTAACACTCGCGCAGCTGCATTCTGGACCAACTGTAGTCTCCGAATATTTTTCAAGGGTAGCCCCATGTAAAGTGCGTTGCAGTAGTCCAGTAGTTTAAATGGCAGAATTTTTTTCCCCTCCTGCACTGAATGTTAGGAAAAGTTACAGCTTTTATATTTATACCTCTTACTAAGGCACTGAATTTTTCCATAGGTAACATGTGGAAACAAGTGGTCCATAACCAGGTCAGCCACATCCCCCCCCAAGAATATTGTTCTCAATAAGGCAAACAGTGTGCTCCAATGCAGTCCCCCCCCCAATGGAATGTCCTTCAGATATTCAGATTTCAACTCTCCACCCTGATCGTTGTGATTCTATAACTCTGCCAAATGTGTTCTTTATGTAAATTATTATTGATTGGGCTTCTTATAGAAACTATAAAATGACAATATTAATGTCTGTTAAACACTTGGTTCAAACATTTCAGAGAGTATATTACAGCCTAGCCTACTTCATAATTTGTTATAAGGATTCTTTGTTCTTCTTTTTTAAGTGTAAGATATTTATGCACAGCTCTGTGA